CTGGTTAAGTCCTGTGATGGTGTTCCATCTATGTGTGGATGTTACACAAACATCCCACACATAAATGGAATACACGCTGTCAGGAACTGTATTCCTGATGATGCCACAGCACAATTGGTGAGAGATAAGGAGATTGGCCATGGCCTTACTCCCACTTGGGGGTGTGTCTGATATCAGGAAATCATGGGCTATAGCTATAGTTATCCCATGTAGGGAAGGGAGGAAAAGGATTCCCCCCACTTCCTTTCCACTGTGCACTTCCAGATGCACCTCCCAGTCACAATCTGACCCGCGCTGAAGAGAAAAATTATGAATCCAGGTGTAAGGCAAAACTAACAAAATGTGAGGTGACAAACTCAGTGCAAGATGTTTGTGAGCATAATTTGAATAGTCACTTTCTCTTAGCTGTCAGCTGAGTTCTGCATTATCAGAGTTTTTAAGGAGCTATCCAGCAGCACCAATTTCCCTGACCATGGGACTAGATGAGCATGTAAAAAAAATCATGAATCATTCACAAAGTTCAATTTCCTTCTCTTCGTTGGCATTTAACATCTGTGAAGAGACTGTGTGAGGATCAGATGCTACTTTCAGTGCTAATCTGAAACAATGATCTGACACCCAGCCATTAGTAAAGTAATCTCTAAGACTTTTGTTTGCAATTGTTAGCTCATACTATATGTTTATATAACTGCATTTGTACACATACTCCCCATACCTTGTTTCATCTACAAGTAGATTTCGATCAGCATAGTTCTTGCTTCTGGGAAAAAGACCCTCTAAATCAGTGGTTTTCAAACTTTTTGGCCCATGTCCCACCTGGCTCAATGTAAATCTTTCCATGGACCACCAGTTGCTAATGGAAATTCACTATTAATTACATTATTACGCCCCAGTCATTTTGCTAGTGCTGCAGCTAGGGAGAATGGTTTAATTTAACTGGTAAGAAAGGAAATATTAAATCACTGAACAGATTATGCACTTTAACTTTCTCATTTAAAATGAAGCTTGATAAGCAAAGTAAAATATTAATTTATGTCCAGCACAAAAGGTTCCTGTTTTTCTTTCTTAATGGCAGGTGTGTGGAACCTTTTTGGATTGGGACCACTGACTCCCAGAAAAATCAGTTGGAGACCGCACAAGAGAGAAGCAAACAAACCCTCTCCAAAACCCCTAAAACTCAGTGATGTGGCCCCCAACTGAGACACCTCACTCTTCTGGCACACTAACCCCATGGGGTGAGGAGGAGGGACAGGGAGGACTGAGGTTCTGGGCTTCCCATGGGCCAAATTTACTCTTCTGGGATTAGTGGATTTTGTGGACTCCTTAGGCTCTGGGGTGGGAACAAAAATTAGGGGTTCAGTGTATGAGACAGGGCTGCCAGTGAGTGGGAAAAGGATGGGGATACAGGATCTGGGTGGGAAGTGGAGTACAGGAGGGGGTGAGGCTCTGGGAAAGAGGTGAGGTGCAGGAGGAGGTTAGAGGGTGAGGTCTCAGTGGGACGTAGAGAGCAGGAGCAGTCTGGGGGAAAAGTGTCTGACCAAAGGGGAAAGGTACAGGACCAAGGGAACATGCAGAAGTTGTCTGGGGGTAGGGTGTCTGGCCAGGGGGTATATATGAGATGGTAGAACAAGGAGAAACTACAGGTCAGTCTTTAAAGCATTTGTCAGTTTGAAGCTCTAAGTTACCCATAGCTGGTGATCAGTAGAGAGATTATTTAACTTTCTCTAGTTACGGTTCATCACTGGTTGCTTACATAACATGATATTGTCTGTTTCCTGATTAGATGAATTTGTATACTTTATTCTATCTAATATTAATTTTCTTTGTCAACTACATAACTAAAATTCAGTGTCATGAGCATTCAGACCAGGGAAGCTTCAGTTGTGTGAAGGCTCTCAAATGATAAATAATGAAGAAGCATGAACACATCAAATTATAAACTGGTTTATGATTCCTTAGACTGTTTACAAACAAGTTTTTATATTTGCTGATCTTCTCTAGTCATTAATGCTAATGACTGGGCTTGATTATTCCAGTGCTCCCCTAGCAAAGAGGATCAAGGAGCTCATGTCTCTGTTAATTTTAATTACAATGTCTCATGCATATTAATACTCACAGTGCTCTAGTAGCAGGGGAAAGGTATCGCACATAAGGTGAACCTTTATTGAGAGTCCTGAGATTATCTGTAGAGCCCTGGATGGATAAAAAAGTGGTATCTGCATCCACATCTGCAAAAATGATTTGCAGATAGCCACATCCACAGATACAGAGCTCTAATGATTTGTTCTTTAAATGTACTGACTGCTGGGCTGTTCAACAGCAAACCAGGAGATGAGCCCAATAGCAAGTAGCATTAAAGAGTGTTTTGTGCCAGAGAGAGGTAAACTATGCCCGCAAAGACTGCAGTAGCATGTGTGTGTGAGAGAGTGCTACCAACCATAATATGCAGTTTTGCGGGTTATGAAGGAAATTTCCAGTTAAAGTACTAGTTTATGATACTCACTGGGAGTTTCACAATCTTCGCCGACAGATGTTAGAAAGTTCTGAGGTGAAGAGTAAGGAATTGGATAGCACTGGAAAAGGGAGTTTGTAATTCTGTGTAGCTGGATTGAGCAGCTATTACTACTAGTACTTCATGGAATTAAGAGAAAATGGTTGCGTACGTGTGAAGAAAGACTCAAGTGATGTGGTTTGAGGGCCCTGAATAACCGGGGAGAGAGATGGATGCAATTTGGACCTAAGACCAGGTGTAGGGGAGGTAATTTGAGCTTGTTAATCATAGGTAGGTAGCTAGAGAGCATGGACTTGGTACAAACATGTATCTATGCTATATTGAGCACTGATGAATAGGTGACTTTTACCCACAAAAGCTTATGCCCTAATATATCTGTTGGTCTCCTAAGGTGCCATAGGACTCCTCATTTTTTTAACAGATACAGACTAACACTACTACCTGTCTGAGTTCTGGTGGTTCTACTATGGTAAACTATTAGTATAGCCACTATTGCAGAAACTTTCCCACACATGGTGAATAAAGAATATAGAATCTATAGTGGTGAATCTTCATAATACTATGCTCATTTGTGATTTGGTCTGTTGAGATTTCCAGGACATACTCTAGATAATGGTGTGCCCAATTTACCGTTCTAAGGGTATGTCTACACTAGCTCGTTAATTCGAACAAGGTAGGCAAATGAGGTGACCAGAGTTGCAAATGAAGCCTGGGATTTAAATATCCCGGGCTTTATTTGCATGTTCCCATCCGGTTGCCATTTTGAAATTTTACTAGTCCAAACTCACTGCCGCGTGGCTACACGTGGCAGTGAAACGTTAATTCAAATTAAGTCCTAAGTTAAGTCCTTAGTTCGAATTAACATTTCACTGCTGCGTGTAGCCGTGCGGCAGTGAGTTTGGACTAGTAAAATTTCAAAATGGCAACCGGATGGGAACATGCAAATAAAGCCCGGGATATTTAAATCCCAGGCTTCATTTGCAACTCCGGTTGCCTCATTTGCCTACCTAGCTCGAATTAATGAGCTAGTGTAGACATTACAAGGTAAATATCTTAGGATATGTCAGAGTATCTGGATCTTACAAATAATACCTTATTTCAGAGACTTTGAGGAAATACATGAACAGGTTCTTTTCAGAACATGTACTTTACTACAAGCAATTTTAATTAGGGCTGTCAAGTGAATAAAAAAAAATTAATCATGCTGTTAAAGAAGAATACCATTTCTTTAAATAAGCATTGAGCTACTGGCTGAATAAGAAATAGGACTCAGACTTGTACGTTCTCAAGTTTTATATTTTGTTTGTGAGTGCAGTTATTACATAACTTACAAATTTAGATTTTTTTAAGCTTTCAGGATAGTACTTGTATGAAGTAAATTGAAAACTCTATTACTTTTGTCATTTTTTCAGTGCAAATATTTGTAAACCAAAGTAATATGAAGTGAGAACTGTAATTGAAGTCGATACATATTAATATGTGGAAAACATCCGAAAATATTTTAAAAATTCCAGTTGGTATTCAATTGTTTAGCAATGTGATTAATCACAATTAATTTCAGTTAATTGTGTAAATTAACTGATTGACAGCCCTAAGTTTAATAACCTGCAGAGTGTTCACTGGAATAAAATCCTCTGATAGTTGAATAAAAGGTTTGTATTTTTATTTCCTGGCAGGTAATTTGTAAAATCAAAATCAATTGATCTTTCAGTGAAAGCAGCAACAGTAAATAATTCTTAGATAAACACTTCAATTTTTTTTAACCAAACACTTAAAAATTAAAAATCTGCATCTCCCATTGGCTTGAATTGATTATACACTTACAAAGAAACAAAGCATAGGAGAATTGAGGGTAATGTTGAAGGTAAGTGCTTGCTATTTCAGTGCTTAAAAAGATAATGGAATCAGATGAAAATGTATTTCCTCACGTAGGGCATTACATTAGAAATTATAACTACATGGTTAAAACAAAGGACTGGAAGTTACTCCTCTCTCATCTGTGCTAGAAGCTTGCTGTATAATAGTGAAGTCGTTTGCTACTCCATGTCTCAGTTTCTCTATTTATAAAACTGGAAACAAATCTAACTCATGAGTTTCAAGAGGTGAAACATGTGCTAATGCATAGTAGACACGATTCCACACGAGCAACTTACCTTTATAAGTCGCATTGATTTCACTCTTGGGCTGGGAGCCTGCCGGGAAGCGCCGAGCGGGGTGACGGGGCACTCGCGCCCCGCACGGAGAACGCGCCGGGAGGCGCCGAACAGCCACACAGGGGGGCGGAGAACACGGCCCAGCCCGCCGCGGTGGACTCCCGGAACGCGCCGGCAGCCGGCGCGGGGAGCGTCGGGAGGCAGCGGGCGCCGCCCAGCAGGGCCCTAGAGGGAGGGGCCGGGGAGGCGCAGGGGGATGACGTCGCGGGGGAAGGGTGGCCAGGAGGCGTCGCTCGGGAAGTGACGCAGAAGGGGCAAGGAGCCGGCGGGGGATTTAAACTCGGGGGCTGGCACGGCACAGGGAGAACGGTGGACGGAGCAAAGGGAGGAGAAACGGAGGGAGAGGTGAGGCAGGAGAGGCCAAGAGAAGTGGGCCGGGAGGCCTGGTGGAGTAGGAAGCGGCCCAGGGCAGGGTCGTGGAGCCCGTGAGCGGGTGTGTTTTGGGGCACTCCCCCATCCGCTAGGGAGGGACCGCGGGTCCCTGCCTTTAGGGCCCTGGGCCGGGGTTCGGAGAGGGGGCGGGCCCGAACCCCCCTACTCCGCCGGCAGGCCGATCCAGCTCGGGTGTAACGCGATCTGGCGGAATAAAAAGGGCCCCAGGCCTAGATGGTGGCTACCCAGGCTTAGCCTTCTGTGGTCAGATCAGCCGTTAGTGGACTCCGAGGAATGAACCAGTTTACAGCATGTTGCAATTCTTATTACAACAGGGCTGATTGATCCACAAACTTTTTTCAGTCTTCTATTTCAAAATGTGGTTGTGTCAAAATTGAAACATTTTTGTAGTAATTCCACAACATTTTTGATGGGGAAATAGTAGAAACAAATACTAGCTGCAGTAAGACATTAATACACTGTTATAGTCAGTTGACAAAAATGATAAAGTGACAATTGGAACTATTTCATAGAAACTGCCGTAATGTCCTGTCTGAGATATCAGATTTAAAACTTTCAAAGCAGAATATGTTTAAATAAGGTGTTTTATGCAGCCAATGGATTCCTTTTCTACTTAAAACAACATTGAGCAAGCACCATTACATAAATCTCACTACAGAG